GTGGCCCCCGCGCGCAAGGAGAGTGTCAGCCGCTCGCCCGAACTTCTCAATCGGTCATCCTATTCGCGAAGCCCCGGAAACGAGCACGAGAGAGCGCGCGACGGCAACGCATTACAGTCCCTCGTGTGGCGAACAATTCATGAACACAACAAATGTAGCTTCACTATAATATACTGTTATATAATATAATATAATATAATATAATAAAAATATACTGTTTTACTATAAACTTTATAAATTAGAAATAACAATGGAATGTAAAAAGAAAACTTAGCAGCTCCCTTTTGTACAACTTATTTCCTTAATTGGAAAATAAATTCAATGATATTATGAACAATAATATACCTTTTCTTTGGTTTCAATTAATTACCTAAATATATAATATCTCCTTAACATATTCAATATCATACTCTACATAAGCTATTTAAGTTAATCTAATTTCCACTACAAATTAAAACAATCACAAACATTAATATCCAAAACATATATCTCAATAAATAATACTTAAAATAATTAAACTGATATTCTTGATTATATACTCTCCTTTTATATAAACATGTAAATAACACTTGAGCCCAAATTCCTCTCTTCATCCATGATCGAGACACGAGCAATATTTAAGCCTCCATACAAAGGATAAGATCTAATTATATAAGTAGATATATAAACAAAGAATACCAAGGGTACCAAGAATAAAGGGCTATGGGAGTCACTCGAAAGGAGAAGATTAAAGTCACGTCTCTATGAAATGTATAAAGCGTACACAGGCCTTCGAGCGTGGTAAGGAATTCAAAGCCAATTAGGGAAACCTACATATTTCGGCAGAGCGGATCACATGCACAAAATTCAGACAAGAATTCAGAAAACGGACGTTGGGAAATATTCATTCGCGAATCGCACTAATAGGGACTGGAACAGTTTGCATGTGACAATCTTTGAACCCTCTCCTCAAAGCCTGAGAAAAATTTAAAAATAAATTAGTTTCTTGAATGTAGATGTTATAAATATATTTAATAAAATTCAATGTAATTACCTATGTCTTCTTTGTAATTAAGTATTATAATAATTATAATAATAATGATAATAATAATAATTATTATTATAATAATAATAATAATAATAAAAATAATAATAATAACAATAATAATAATAATAATAATAATAATAATAATAATAATAATAATAATAATAATTATAATAATAATAATTATAATAATAATAATAATAATTATTATTATTATTATTATTATTATTATTATGTGCAGTGCAGTGGCATGAAGAGAAGTGACGTGATACTGAGAGAAACGAGTGAGTACGAAAGACATTACAACTCGCTGTATCGCAGTGCGGTGAAGTGTGGTGAAAGAAGTTTGGTGAAGTGGAGTTCTAAGAAAGATTGCGCAGTGAAATGTTCACGTGATTTTGTAAAGTTTGTAGATTTTGTATAGTTGTTAAGTTCTGTAATGTTAAGTTAGTGTATTCTGCCACCAAGTTCTCACACTTAATTGCAGAATTATTAATAAATCTAATCTAAGAAGGCATAAACCATATTGATTCTCAAAATCTTACAAAATAATAATGTATTAAACTAAATCAACCATAATTCATCAACATTGAAAACTCAAAACCTATTCAACCACCAATTAAACTCACCATTAAAGCCAAAATCTTTATATATATACAGGTAAACTAATAAAATTAGAAGTACTTAATATCAGTAAAGATGATAATGATTACTTAATATTATAAATATTAATATAAATATAGAACCAATAAATCTGTAACTCACATCCCCTAAACAATGTCATCTCTTACAATTAAATTCACCTACCATAACATAATAAATCAACCAAAAAGTATAACAATTAATCCAGTGGAAAGAAAAAGCAAAACAAAAATCAATAAATTAAAATTTCTTATTAATCTCAATTCCAAAATTATTAAATAAATAAAT